TGTTTTTATTTACATCAATATGAAAGAAACCGTTTTTAAGATCAATGGTGCATAAAACCCTTGATTTTTGCAACCTATCTAATACATCTTCAATTATGAGTAGAGGATATAGGTCTTTTACTATGACTTTATTCAGTTTACGAAAATCTATGCAAACTCTGTAGAACCGTCTTTTTTCTTTACAATGACTAGAGGACTGGAAAATTTGGATGAATGCTTTTCTATTATACCCTCTTTAATCCATTCTTCAACTTGTTTATCAATAGTTTCCTTCTCAATAACTGGTTTTGGTCTCAAAGAAATAATATTGGTCATCGGTTAAATTACGAGGGCCATCCAGGAAGTAGATTACGTTTCCGTCTGTGTCCGCTAGGGGCGGGGCTAGCGCGGCCATCTTAGGGTCAGAGTGTTGCGCAGCTCAGTCTGCATCTAGCCGTGCTAGTGAGAGGTTCGTGCTGTGCTCCGTTCAGATACTGTGACGGTTTGAAATGTCTGCGTTAATTGAAAATCCCGCGAGCTGCGAGGTGCGCTCAGTAATAAGGTTTCTGACTGCAAAAAACTGTAAACCGATAGAAATCTATCGGAAGCTTCGTGAAGTGTATGGGGACAACATTATCACTGAAGGTGGAGTGCATCAGTGGGTCATAAGATTTCAAAATGGCCGAACCAATGTTCACGACGAAGATCGAAGTGGGAGACCCAGCATAGTGATTGCCGAACTTCTCGAAAAAAGTCGATGCTAAAGTCCGTGAAAATCGAAATTTCACAATAACGGAACTTTCTTTGAGTTTTTCCACAAATTTCGCGAAGTTTGTTGCACGAAATCATCAGCGAAAAGCTTGGTTACCACAAGTTTTGTGCAAGATGGATTCCAAAAATCTTGACAGAGGACCACAAAAATCAGCGAATGGCTGCAGCGTTGAACTTTTTGGATGCTTACCATAAGGATGGTGACTCTTTACTCGATCGCATCGTACTGGTGACGAAACATGGGTGAAACAATGTGAACTGTGAAACGAAATTGCAATCAATGCGTTTTGATGACGACGCACAGCTGCAAGAAGAGGTAACGAAGTGGTTGAAGGCACAGGCGGCCGAATTTTTCGACGAAGGAATTTCCAAGCTTGTACATTGCTACGATAAATGCCTTAATTTGTATGGTGACTATGTAGAAAAGTAGTATTTGAGTGTGGCTTTCATCTGTATATAATAAAATTTGTTTCCTATACTTTGTTTATTTTTTTATTCCAAAACGTAATCTACTTTCTGGATAGCCCTCGTAATATGCATTTTAATATTGGTAGTTTTTGTTGTGTTAGGAATGTAATTTTCAATTGTTTTACTTTCGACCTCTATGCTTATATCCGAACAATTATCTAACTCATCTTCTTGATCTACATTTACATTTATTAAAAATTCAATTAATTTTCATCTTCATTTTCATTTTCATAGATATGCCATTCTTGTTTATAATAATTTCCATTTGCGAAAGCAATTCATTTCCAATAACAGATAATATATAAGTATTGATTTAATTTCGCAATAACATATAAGTATTTGATTTAATTTCACAATCATCAATTCGTATGGAACCTTTAAAATAACCAATAGGCTTTATTATTACCAAAGCCTACTAGAATCAAACTGGAAGAATTAATATTAGGTGAACCAATTATTTTATAAATATTTTCAAATACTATATTTATATCACTTCCTATACCAATCAGAACTTTTTACTTCTACATTATCTACCGATACATTTTTATGCATATCATTCAACTGCTTCTTTACAAATATATGATTCACTTCGCCAAAATTGTTTACATTTGTCTTATATTTTGTACATTCTGCAGGTACGTGTCCAAATGCATTACAACGAAAGCATTTTTTTTCCCTTGCTCTTATTTTTGCAGAAATTCTCCGCATGACCAAGATTTCCGCACTTATAGCAATGAATATTTGTTTTTATTTTACTATCAAAATGGTCGCCTCTGGTTTTAGAATTAGGCTTAACAGATTTAGTTTTATCATTATCTAATTTAATTTTTTCATATATAAGTTTTTCCTGAAATTCTGCCAAAATTTTACCACCATAAAGAATAGCTTTTATTAAATGTAGAATCGTTTTTACCATTAATAACATATTCAATTAAAGTGGCATTTTCAATATTACCTTTGGAACATAGATTTTTAATTACCAAAAAAATATTCATATAGAGATTCTTTTTCCTGCATTTTACATTTTGATAATAATTCATGTAACTGAGCAGAATTATACTGAACACCATGTTTATTTACTAATAAAGCCTTAAGTGCAATTCACGAATTAATTTTCGTTACACTTTCAATAAATAATTTTGCTCTGCCAGTTAAAGATCTTTTAGCGAATATCAGTTTCTGAAATTCATTTAGTTTTAACAAATTAGATAATCCTCAAAGTTTTCAATGAATTTGTCAACTGAATTATATGGATTACCATCAAATTTAGAAATCAAACTTTCAATATCATTAAAATTTATATGCATATTTGAAAACTGTGAAAATGGATATTGAACATTTGACTTACTAATATTTTGTTTTTCATCATGATTTTCATCAACAACAGCAAAAGAAGTGTCACCAAAAATTTGAGCATTTGATGTGTTGATTCCACTATCAACAGAAATATTCCATCTTTCGCCTAATATTGCTTCATATTTCTCCATTTGTTGCTTGTATTTTGATCCCGATTCTGACACCATTTTTGTGGCTTCTTGTGTTTGGCAATCACAATTCATGTTCAAACAAAACACATTTAATGAAACATTAATACATCTATAGCGCCCTTCATATATTAATACAAAATCTATAACATTGTATATCTATATTAACATAACATCTATTAAATAAAACATCTTTATCATCTTACATCTCCTCTCATAAAACAAAGTGGCGAGAGTTCTATCAATTTCACTCATGCAGTCAACAGCTAAAAATTAGGCAGTGTGCGAGGAAAAATATTAAGCTATGGATTTAAAATCCCACACACATATATGTAGTCATATATAACTGGAAATTTTTTTTTTCAAGTGGTACCATAACTAGTTTACTCTCAGCACAGCCAACGCGCACTATGCAGATATCCTGAATTTTCTCGAAACACACCTGAAAAAGTCAAAATTTCATTCTTCTGTTTGAGTGGCAACTGTGCTATGCTATTCGGGTACTTTATTTCTGTCTATTATTCGGGACTCTGTCTAAACCACTATTTCTATCAGCACTATATATGTAAAAAACATACTTTTCTTTCGTAGGATTAAAATCACGCCCAGTGATAGGAAGCCAGCAGCACTAACTTCTGTATTGATCATGGCAGCTGTTTATCATAAACATCTGATATTCAGATTACTGATGATGTGAGTTCATTATAATGCGCATGTAATTTCATCGTGATTTGGTCCCTTCTTACCTTTCAAAACTGTCTAGTTAATATTTTACCTTCAGAAATTTTTATCTCAAAATTCTCTCCAAAGCTAAAAACACCAGTTTGGAAGTCCTCCCACTTCCTATCTGGTAACATTGTACTGAGCACTGTTGCAGTCATTCTGAATGCATGACTGAACTGTATAGCTGATATGAAGAAGCAATGACATGTGCTTCAGTGGACTGTGTAACAGCTTACCTGGGATTAAATGCAGAATCTTTATTGTATTCCTAAGATCAATGTATATTGTTAATCAATCAATTGATCAATGTATATTGTTAATCAATCAATTGATCAATGTATATTGTTAATCAATCAATTGATCAATGTATATTGTTAACTTATAATATTTTGTTAATTAACATACTTCTGTATATATATTAATTTTTTTTCCTTTATTGTGGCAACTGGTTCATTTGTTGGTTTTCTCATTATTAGTGGTAAATCTGACCATGGAAAATCTTTGTAATGTACTCTAAATGCATGCTTATATTACATATTAACCCCTTCCCGTGCCATTCACCTCGACAAAACTCGGGCCCAAGTGTTATGGGTCAACATGTGGTAAACAAGCCAGACTGATGCTCGAGAACAGTCACAATGCAAACCGAAACAAAAATGCTTGCATTATAGTCAGTTTTGAGTGAAGTAAACTTTAATCCCTCTGCCTTTCGTGGACATTATAAATATATTATATTTTGTAATAAATAACACTTTCAAGATTATATTTCATAAATAAACATTTTAAGTAAATAAACTTTAATCCTTCTGTCCTTTGCAGATATTATAAATATATTATATTTTGTAATAAATAACAGTTACTACGAAGTATTAATACTGCCTAGTACTGAATGTACTTACTATGAAGTATTACTACCGACTTTCTGTTCACAATCATGGCTCATCACGAGCCCGACTCATTAAAGCATGGGAAGGGGAGGGGTTAATGGTTAATTTAGCCCAGGGTTTCTTAAACTGTGGGTAGTTTTAATATTTCTTTAACTTATTATAATAATTTTACAATTACCAAATATTTTTACACAATATATCTGAAAATAGATAAAGACAATACAAACAAAGAAAAAATTAAAATGTTTCGAAGCATTCTTTTTATAATATAAACGTTCATTTTCCTTCCTTTGCATGTGACACAGTCATTTCGTCTCTTGCTTATTAAAAATTTCACATTATTCTGTGTATTAAAATTAGAAGTTAAAGTTAATGAACTAAAACTGCAATAGGATATTACAGTACAAGTGAACAAATTGACAGTTTCGTTCACGCGTGTTTCAGGTTTGCGCAATACTTATAGGGTCCCACAAAATTTTTTAAAATATTATGGGCTCCTGGGAGTCACGAAAAAAATCTCAGTGATAAAAAGGGGTCACGATTGAAAAAAGTTTAAGAAACCCTGATTTAGCCTAGTCATGATGAAAATAATTGCCTCCATTTTTTATCCAAGTACTTTTGTATGTTATGTACTATTTTTAAGAATTTATCAATTGTTTTATTTCCTTTATAAATTAAAAAATTTTAGAGGGACTTGCTGTTGGAGTAGGGTTTGGAGCTGTTGGGAAAACCAAATCTGCAACTTTTGAAAGTGCGAGGTAAATAAATATTCTTATACATATCTATAGATATATAGATTATGTTTTAGTTTTATTATTCAATAAGTTAAGAAGTAATGAAAACATAAAGATATATTCTCTACTTGTTTATTTTATAACTTCTTTAACTACTCAAAATTAGAATCTAAAGAATAAAAAAAAAATGTTTCCTCATTTTTAGGAATCTTGCTCTTGGTATAGGAATTCAAAATTTTCCTGAAGGTTTAGCAGTTAGTTTACCATTACATGGAGCTGGTATGTCTAGATGGCGAAGTTTTTGGTAATTTAAACTCATATATATATATTTTGTTCCCTTTAAAATTACTTGATCTTAGTCTAGTCCACATAATATTCACTCAAATCCTTTCCCGCATTATAATTAGCCTATTTCAAGGCTTATGGTGTTTATAATTTGTTTAAATTTAATATTTCAAATATTTGTATAGGTGTGCTATATTTAAGAGATTGCTGCTCTGAAAACTATATTTATTAAAACAATAAACACGACTCGTATGAATAAATCATGTGCAGTAATAAAGAAAAAGATTTTTTCCCCCTCCATTTCATGAGTACCAAATATAATTTTTGAACTGTTTACAGAAGGGTGAGCATTATCATTGAAAATATACCTTCTTCATAGAACTTAACCAGATTAGGTAATAACTAGTGGAATTATGTATCCTGAGTTAAGTAACTTCAAAATAAATAAATAAATAAATGATAAATAACAGCCAGGCCTCTGTGTCAATAATTTTTGCTGAAAATAACTTTGCTAAAGAATAAATATGTAACAGATGCTGTGTCTTTGATATGATTTAAATCAAGTTCCTCGTCATTATAATTCGCTTCCGATAGTGAAAAAAGTGACTTAGAGGTTATTGAAAATGAAAAAATTTCGATTGACAAATTAGTTGGTATTCTCGACACAGCAATTATAGGACTTGAACAGCAGAACTTTGTAACTAAACAAGAAATTATGTCTTTTTAATAGAATTAAAGAGAAAGTATTATCACATGAAACGAAGCAACTTAAACAACTTGCATTGAAAGAAATGTTTAATAAATTAAGCAATTAAATATTAAGCTTTTTCTTTTTGTAAATTTTGATACCCTTTAGATCATAATTGTTCTTATTTCATAAATTACGGTTTTATATTTTTAATTTTGTAATTTCTGCATGCCATCTTACCATATTTAAACTGATGATCTATAATCCGGAAAGTGTAGATTTTTGTCATAGACAGGCTATCATTTTGAGTAGATATAGACTGGCTATCTAATCAATATTAGATATAGACTGTCATAAACTGGCTGTCATTTTGAATAGATTGAATTATTTCAAAACACTGACGTTTTAGAACCATCTTTGATAAAAGAGAACAGCCAAGGGGAAAGATATATGGCAAGTAAAATGGTTGGGACATAACAGAAATTTGTTTTTAATCAAAGTTTCCTTATTGGAATGCCCTTTATTCAAAATGTGGTACCTTGCAATTGATTAGGAGATGTTTTAAGTCTGTTTGCCTTATAGTTCAGACTTTGCTATCCCAAATGATGTCACTTCACATATTTTTACTTCCTTGTACAAAGTGAGGGAACTGTTGTAATCATAAAAATTTTGGGGTATCGTATTTAAATGAAAATATACATTTTGACTGTTATCGATGTGCAATTTAACAGTGTTTTCGCATGAAGAACTGTTTTTTTTCCCCCCAAAATGGGTTGCAAAAAGGATTTAAAATGGATTCAGAAGAGATTTTTTTCATGATGTCTGTACGTATGTATGTATCTTGCATAACTCAAAAACAAGTTGCCTCAGAACATTAAAATTTGTATAGGACTGCTATAACATGTAGTTATGCACTTTCCTTTTTGGTTGCAATCTGAAACACCAAAAGTATATAAATATATACTCACTCTATTACTCAGCTAGGTGAGCCCAGTTTTTTATTCTTATATGTTGGTAAATTGTGCATTTGTTGCTTTAAATAATTGATGTTCTTATGTTCCAGTTAAGAATGCCTTTAGTTAATCTGCATGCAATAGTTTTAGTTTAACAGTTGTAGTCAATAGTTTAAAAGTTGTTTAAGTGCAGCTAAGCCTAATTTTTTTTTTACCAAAGCAGCCATATTCATTTACATTTATTAAAACTTAGCAGACTAGTCAATTAAGTCAGTTTCTACATCTTCTGTGTCTTTTTGCTGAATGGTACCGAAAGCAAACTTTCAGTTTTGTGCACTGAAAAAATCTTCCTTCTTGCCGGCTGGACAAATTGCTTGTTTCTGGGTAGAAACTCTAAATGTAAAAAATTTTTAAATTGTTTTAACTGTTTTTGGTGTTTATATTTTTCAGTTTTTAACAATGATATTTTGAGTTTTTATGTATTGTTGCCATGAAGTAAGAACTGAATTAATTGAATGAGAAATATATGTCTAATGAAATTTGAGGAAATAAGTTAAATGAAGTGTATTTAGAAATGTGTATAATTTAATATTCCAGGAAGTCATGGTGTACACATCAGAATTGTTTTATAAAAATTATGCTAACCTTTTGTACCAGCTAAATTCAGTTGCTAGTTTTATGCACATAACTCTTCTGCAAGCTTTTTAATAGAGAAATATTGAAGTATGTATCAGTGTTATTGAGTGCTTTAGTGAAATATTTGATATATCTTATTTGTAGGTTTGGTCAGTTAAGTGGCCTGGTTGAACCAGTAGCAGGGTTGATTGGTTGTGTAGCAGTCACAGTAGCTGAACCTATTTTACCTTATGCTTTATCCTTTGCTGCTGGAGCTATGATATATGTTGTAGTTGATGACATTATACCTGAAGCTCAAGTACAGTAAGTATTCAAATCAATTTTGAATTTTTAGGTACTTTTTTTGACAAAATAGAAAAACTAGCATAGCTCAGCCTTGTTTTAGTATTACAGGATATTGGAACAGTTAGATTTTGAGCATAAATGAACTCAGAAATACCCAGAAGACTATACTTACAAAAATGGCAGTCAGTCTACCTGTATTTCAGTACCATTACTTCATAGCTAAAAATACTTATATGTAATATTATTTATTTAAGCTTAAAAGAAGTCCATTTCAGAAATTGACCTTGTAAAGCAGAGAGGGACACCAGAGTTGTATATAACTGTAAATAGATTTATGCAGATATTTTTATGCATCTATTAGTATTTTTATACTTTTACACCAGGGTATTAAAAAAGCTAGACCCCATTCAGATAATCTAAAATTCGGATAATTGGATTTTTTCTGAAGAAAGGAGCTACGTACACTTTAATTAAAATGAGTGCTGAAAGAGGTCATTGCATGCTGAACATCTCGATCAAAGCAAGCTGTTTGACTGTTTTCCGCCAAGACAGTTTTATTTTCTGGACAGAAAGGTTATTTGTATTTGGCATACATTATAAATTTGAAAATAATTAACAAATTAATGTACCTTTACTTTTAGCATGATGAATCCATCTTTTTAAACAATAAGAAAATAATTAATATTATTTAAGATAAATTTTACTCTTAAAAAAAATCTTTTAAGTTAAAAACTCATATTTTTATCACATTCAAGAAAAAACAGAAGGTGACGGTAATTGAGGTTTTAACCTATTTCCTTTTTTAAAGTGTTAGATAAATAAAATACAATAGAACTCCAATTATCCAAGTCAATTGGGACCGGACCCCATTTGGATAATCAAAAATTCAGATAATTAGATTTTTCTGAAGAAAGAGTGTTTTAATGTTTTAATTAATTAAAATGAAAAGGCAACACTTTTACGTACATGTTATATAGCATACTGTACAGTACTTAGACAAGTGCTAAAAGTCATTCCTTGCCGAACGTCTCGATCAAAGTAAGCTGTTTGACTGCCTTCGTCTGTTTTCGGGCAGCCAAGTCGCACATCCACTCGGCAATGAGAAGTTGCGTTTGGTCACACTGGGGCTGACGCTCCATCCACTTCAACGCAATTTCAAGGCTGGCAAACACCTCACTAGCTGATGATCATCTTCTTCCTCGACATTTTCTTCTCTCACACTTTCAATAAGTTTATCATCACTTAGAATTTGAAGCGCAAGGTCTGACAAATCACACACCATACATTTTGCTGTATCCTTAGCACTAGCTTCTGAACATCAAGAAATTTGCAAATGAATGTTTCTTAATTTCTCAAGTGGCACATCATCCTCATCTTCTCCTGTCTCTTCCCTTTTTTGTTTTTGAGCTTATTTTTCCTTTTCCTTGTCTTCTTCAGTTGATTCTGAAATCGATTCAGAAATTTTGGACTTCGGATAATTGGAGTTGTACTGTATTTTATGAAAATGTTATTTCAAAGAACGTAATTAAATCAATATTTGATGTTGTGTATATTATGTGTACATGGGAAGCAGTTGCTCAAAATATTAGAAACTACTGAAGAAAATAGGGTTTTATGCATAGAACTCCTCAAAGAATTTCCAAGTTACACATACAGTTTAGCATTTAGTTATTTCCTTAAATTGATAATTTTCATCAATCTTGTAATTATTTCTTCTGAGAAAAAATATTTGTGGGTTTAAATTCATTAATAAAAAAATATCAAACATTTTTATTTAATCATGACAACCTTCATCAAATATTATAAGATGTGCAAATGTAAGGGCATAAAATGTACGTAATTAATTTAAAAGTAACTTTTAATACAGTCAAAAGTCGTTAATTCGGACACCCATAATTCGGAATGATCTATAATCCGGACATCAAAACTAAAAACTTTCTGCGCATGCGCCACGTTGACACATGCGCAGAGGTGTTCACGCGTGCACGTAAGACCTTTTACGACTGCGCATATGAGTGTGCGCAAGTGCAGAATACGTTTTTGCGTGCGCATTTTATGTATAATGGACGTATAAGCTAAAATTATCTAATTATCTATTTCAGTTAATGTTGATGATTGCATTGTTCCTTAATTTTCGAATTGCATCCGGCTTATTATTTTTTGCAGACTGTAAGAGCAATTTTATAAAAGTAAGCTTAAACTTTTGATTATATCAAATAGAATTTCCGATATATATTTGTTAATATGTAAAGGATCTAAAGCGAAAGTATGTTTTGAAATCCGAAATCTGTTTATCAATTTCACGCTGCTCCGCAGCGGGCGCCTAATGAATTGGAAGTTGATTTGTCAGCACTATCCTTATCTTCAGCGCAGATGTTTTTATTTTATTTGGCTTATAATTACTTACCAAATGTAGTATTTCATCTTGATATGCTCCGTCTTTGATATGATTTAAAACAAGTTCCTCGTCATTATAATTCGCTTCCGATAGCGAAGAAAAGTGACAGAGGTTATTGAAAACAAAAAAATTTCGATTGACAAATTAGTCGGTGTTCTTGACACAGCAATTATAGGACTTGAACGGCGGAACTTTGTAACTGAACAAGAAATTATGTCTGTTTAATAGAATTAAAGAGAAAGTATTATCACATGAAACGAAGCAAAACTTAAACAACTTACATTGAAAGAAATGTTTAATAAAGTAAACAAATAAATATTAAGCTTTTTCTTTTTGCAAATTTTGATACCCTTTAGATCATAATTGTTCTTTATTTCATAAATTACGGTTTCATATTTTTAATTTTAGAATTTCTGCATGCCATCTTACGAGATTTAAACTGATGACCTATAATCCGGAAAAATCGATAATCCGGAATCGCCGAAGTCCCGACGAGTCCGGATTAACGACTTTTGACTGTAATAACTATAAATGTTCACTTTGCTTATTATTATATTATCTTTCTGTGGCAACAGTTGAATTTCTTTTAGAATGTAATGTTTTATTTTTATAAGAATTAGTTTTACTGCTACAGTTGAAAAATAAAGTATTTAATGCGAATACAGTAGTGCTGGTTGTAGTTCATTAAAATGCCATTAAGGTAGTAGTAAGTCTTTATTTGCATTTTATTAATGTTGTCCCAGCTAAGAACCAACAAATTAATTGCTATAAGTACTTTTGTTGCATTCTATGGGTTCGTGGATATGGAGTGATTGGGGGACATAATGGATCTGTATCACGATGTCGTATAGTCTGTTGAGAACTGTAAACGGAGCTCACCCCCAAATGCAACTGCAGTTGGGGAGAAATACCCTTATGATGATTCGGATTCCACAGCCACACCTTGTCGTTTTTCCTGGAACTGATGTTTGGTAGTTTGCATCATGTCCCTTCATCCTATTCGTGGAGATGTTGATCCGATCCCGGGCAAACCTGTGTATGTATTCCAATCACACCCGGATTTCTTGCATGTACTTAAATGTACATCTGGAGGTCGGCCGAATAGCATCTGCGATGGAGAATGGCGGTTTCGTGGAGCAAGCAGGAACAGGGGCAGCTCGCGATCACAGTTTTCTTGGAAACCATGAGCGAGAGGTGGTTTAGGATTGTACAATTAAACCTGTCCACCATGCCATCAGACTGTGGATGTAACAGGTTCGTCTGCATTTTCTTGATTTCCAATAAGTAGCAGAGTCCCTTGAACACCGCTGAAGTCAAGTTCCTGCCGTGATCGGAATGAATCTAGAGGGGGATCCCAAAGTTGAACACCCGATTTTGTATCAGAATTTGGTAAGCTTCGAACCACTCTGTAAAATAACCCATGACAACAGGATGTATTTGTTGCCGTCCGTGGAAAAGGTCCAAGTATGTCAAGGGCAGTTCGCTCAAAACTTGCATTGCATCGCTGCAGCCGTCACCGGCTACGTCAATTCGTTCCTTTTTTGGCTGCACAAGATCGACCCCACTTATCAACATCGATTCTCACCGAACTCCAGAAGAAATGCTCTCAAACCTTGTTTAGTGTCTTCATATATAGCCAAAATGCCCTCCTGTTGGGTTGCCGTGTATTTCCTTCAGAACAATGGGTATTCCATTCTGAGGAAGCAGCAGGTGCTACCTCTAATTAGCTCCATCGTCACTTTCCCATAGTCAATATAAGATTTCATTTCGGAAGTGGAGTGAGTCCCAGAGAGCCTAGTACAGTTGTAGGACTGAAGAGGGAAATGTCCTGCCCCTTGGGTTTTGTACTGGATGATTCCTTCAGCTCTATTATTGGCTTAATGTCAGGATCTACCAATTAGTCTTCTCTAACTTTTTTGTCATTCCACAGATCTGGATCAGCTAATGTTGAAGATGTCATTTGCTGGATGCTAGGATTCACCAACCCGTACTTAGCCTCGGCTCTTGAACAAAGCCTGCAGTACTTCAGGCTTTGTTCAAGAGCCGAGGATATGCAGATACTTTATAAAGCCTAGATAAAGTATCTGCATTTCCGGGGGAGGAGTTTTTACAATGTTTTAATCTCAAAGTCATATTCCTGTAGTCTTTGAATCCATCTGGCTATTTGTCCTTCAGGATTTTTGAAATTCAATAGCCAGGTTAGGGAAGCATGGTCGGTCCGCAATAAGAATTTACTGCCACGGAAACAATGACGGAAATGTTCTATGGTCTTTACGATAGTGAGCAATTCTTTACAAGTGAGCTTTCTTTCCCAAATGAAAGATGGTAAAGAGCGAGTAATAGCCTTTTGGAGTAAGTACTTGCCCAAACCGGGAAAGAATTATTGCTCATCTGTAAAGAATTGTTCGCTATCATAGCCATAGAACATTTCATCATCTCTATGGTAGAAAATTCTTGTTGCAGACCGATTATGATTCCTTAATTTTGCTACTGAATTTCAAAAATCTGGAAGGACAAATAGGCAAATGGATTAAAATACTCCAGGAATATGACTTTGGGATGAAACATCGTAAAGGCTCCTCCCACGGAAATGCAGATACTTCATCCAGCACTTTGTCCT